CAGTGCAAACTCGCATTGATAATTATCCGAAGAATGATGCAGGCCGACATTTCTCTAATTCTCATTTCACAAAAATTCTTACAAACAATGAAACAATTCAGCGCCGTTGGTTAATTTACTCCGTTTCTAAGGATCGAGTTTATTGTTTTTGTTGTAGACTATTTGATAGTAGCTCAACGTCGAACTTAGTATCTCAAGGGTATAACAACTGGAAATACTTGTCTGAAATATTAAAAAATCATGAAAATAGCACTTTTCATAAGAAGTTTTACTTTTTCATGGATTGAAGCTGAACTACGATTAAAAATAGAAAAAACGATGGAATAATGTTTTGTCTAGATTGATGCATATCACACTTTATTTAGCCGAAAACAATATGACGTTCAGAGGCACTTCTGACAAACTATATACGCCAAATAACGGAAAGTTCTTAGGCTTTGTACAAATACTAGCCAAATTTCATCTAGTCATGCAGGAGCACTTGCGATTAGCTATGAAGGGTGGTATTTCAGACCACTCAGCTTCTGTTCATCGATGGAAAATTCTAACCGATTACTTGGGACTATATACTATAAAAAAGCACAGTGACACTCGTTCGGAAGCAAGAATAAGTAGTGTTACAGTAGTCTGTTATCAAATTAGTACTATCCATGATGCTTTGATTACTTTGGCTCTTGAAACTCAGAAAACTGATGTTCAAATGTCTCATGAAGCTACTACTCTAGCCGAACAACTAAAAGATTTCAGCTTCATAGTTTCATTGGTTGTTTGGTATGACATACTTCATCAAATAAATGTTGTAAGTAAATCTCCACAGTCAACAGATATGGATCTTGGTAAATGTACACAAATGTTGAAAAAATGCGGCAATTTTTTGGAAGACTACAGATATACGGGCTTTAAAAGCGCTATTTTAACTGCGAAGGAGTTGGCTGAAGAACTAGAAATTGAGCGTCAAGCTGGTGAAATTGCACGCGATGACCCTATAACTTCTCCAGAAAAAAATTTGAGGTTGAATTTTTCAACTGTCTTTTGGACAACATTAATTTCAATCAATGAAAGGTTCGAACAGTTAAATGAGTACTCGGAATATTGGTCTTTTTTGTACAATATTAAACAGATTCCAGAAAAACGCGACCTTCTCAAGCTCTGTAGTGATCTCCAATTAAAATTAACTGTAGACTCTAAATCAGACATAGATGGTTGTATGTTATGTGATGAACTTATAAGTCTGGCATCCCACCTGATAAAAATGTGGTTACTCCCATTTTTGTTATAAATTTTATCAACGATTTCAACTTACAAGAACTGTATCCAAATGTATGGATATCATTGCGAATTTTATTAACTATACCTGTAACGGTTGCTAGTAGGGAGCTTTTCAAAGCTGAAGCTAATAAAAACCTATCTTCGATCAGCGATTTCGCAATCTAGATTGACAAACTTAGCAACTGTGTCAATTGAGAACGAAATTGCTGAAAACACCGACTTCGACAACCTTATAAAAGAGTTTGCTAATAGAAAGGCCAGAAAAGTAAAATTATATTAGTAGTTCTATTAATGGTTATCTTTTATAATAATTTTTTTTTAATAAACGGTTATTTCATTAGATGTTTTTCTTTTTTCCAAATGGGTTTGAATTGCAGGTGAAGGGCGCCGTAGAAATCTCGCCCAGAGCGCTGGTAGTGTTAAAGCCGGCCCTGTCTTTACGTTTGAGAGGTTTCTGAACATTTTTTTGCATACCTTGAAAAATGGATGTGGTGTATTTTGTGTGGATACAATTTTATGTCCACGATTTCGGGCGCACGGATCAATCGATTTGAATTAACTAGTCGAAAGTGGCATTTTCCCATTGACAAGTTTCCAATAGTTTTAATAATTGACCTAATCAATCAAAATTTAGTTTTAGATATTTAGCTTAAATTTTCAAATGTTGGCGATATCCAATTGAATTTACTCAAACATATTTAAATTATCTGTAATTACATTAATTATATTGCACAAGTACATGCTTGTATGTCCTAAAATTGTAGCCCATTATTTTAAGTGAAGTTAATCATTTACTTGGATTTCTTTCGACTGTAAAATATCTTAAGGAGAAAATACAAAATTAAGGAGTAAGCTACATAAATTAATTAGCTTTCTTTCCTTATGGTGAAATAAAAAAGTTTGCGTGGACTTCTGTCGGCTCTAAAATATCTTAAGAAGAAAATCAAGAAAGCGATATATGTAATAGCCTTATTTTTGAATAAGATTATACTCCTTATCGTAAGAAGAATTAGGTTGGTTTGACTTCTGTCGATTGGAATTGAAATTACAACCTACTTATATTTACTCGTACTTTGTTATCGGTCTCTTTTATTTCTGCAAATATTTAAGAGAAGATAATGACAGTGTAAATTTATCCAAGAAGTTGGTAAATAGCTTGGAATGCAAAAATGTAAACAAAACATAAGTTACTTATTGCAAGATGTTATTATTCAGGTGTTTACCGAGATTTATAATTATCGATGCTTATGGAAGTTTATGCAACTAGTTTTATGAAATGCAACTTTACCCATTTAAATATTTTTCTATTTTTTTTTTTGATTTCCAGGTCGATTTGACGATTCTTCCGTACGAGGCGCACGCCCAGGACAAGACCTGCGTCTGCTTCGAGTTTCTGAACAATGCGGTCGTCACGCTCAACCAGGATGAATTCGACGCCGAGCCCCATCCGGACTACCCCTTTACATTCCTCAAGGTAGCAAAAGATACATTTACATTAGTTACATACATCAATATTAGTTGAATATTATATTATTTTCTTCTGTTATTAGGGAGGCAAATCTTGCCTGTTTCCGATGTCGGCCGAGATTGAGGTGTGGGCGATGACGGATTTTCAGGTAATGGATAGAATATAATTTACATAATATATATATATATATATATATATATATATGTGTGTGTGTGTGTTTGTGTGTGTTTGTGTATTTCCTGACCTGGCATATCTTATTTAGTCATAAAAAATATTTCTAGAACATTTATAGTATAAAAAATAGCTAACTTGTTGTAGTTGTGAATATAAAAGTGTGTGATATACAGTGAAAGAGGCAGCTAACACAAATTATATGGATGGTTTACCCACTACAACGTATGCCACATATAAATGTTCTTGGGGCATCTTGATAGTCATTTCAAGAACCATCCTAATCTAAAACTGATTAAATTTATGTTGCACTGACAAATTTAGATAGTCAAGGTTTTGATATATTATTACCTCGATTTTTATTAACTCATTAATTATTAACTTCCCGAAGTAGAGTTCATATTTTCATCAAAAAATCCGAATCGCTATTTTATGTTTTCTCGACGTTTCAAGTCATTCTGAATCGAATTAGGCCACATTTTGAATAAGTCTGTGTGTGTATGCATGTATGTGAACAGATTTTTCGCCGTAAATCAACGTTTTCTCAAAAACGGCTGGACCGATCTCAAAAATTTAAAGGCCATTCGATGCATTTCGATGAGGACTAGCGTTCATCGGTTTTGTGCGACGATCGGCCAAACCGTTTCTTTGTACATCGCAGAAAATTGGAAAAAGTTCGTCCACATTTTAGCCCGCAATTCTGAATAGATTTTAAAAATTCAAAAACCGTTCGAAAGATATTGGATCGGTCCTGCCATTTTCTTGTAATAAAGTGTTAAACTAATTTTTTTCGACAATTTTTATTATTTTTTTGACAGTAGATACCATAGTCTCAAAGATCATACTAAAATATTACGACCCTACGAAACGTTAAAAATTCGTCAAAGTTTGCAAATTTTTTTTTAAATTATAATCAAATATTTGTCAAAATTAGACTTTTGATCGACATTTTCTCAAAAACGCCTGAACCGATTTCAGAAATTTAAAAGCCATTTGATGTATTTCAATGAGGACTATCATTTGACAGTTTTGTGCGACGATCTGCCAAGCCGTTTCTTTATAATTCAGTTTATCAGCCTACCAGTTTATCTGTCTATCTGTCTTTTTTTTTATCTTCTTATCTGTTTATCTGTTTACCTGCCAACCTGCTTACATGTATAATTTTCTACTTTTCACTACCCATAAACCTGTATACACATCTGTTTATCTATTCACCAATAATTGCATTAATATGTGAATCAATAGTAATGATTTGTAAAGATCATATTTGACCAACAAATGTCAATTTTTGTAAAAAAAACTAGCATCTCCAAAACCGCCTTCGCAAAAATTTGATTCTTAATTCCGTCAACACAAGTGAAATATTTTTTGAATCATTCAAATCGGATGCTCTCAATAACTCTCACTTTCAGAACTTTTTCTCTGTATTTTGAAAACGGTTGGGAATCGGTTAATTTATTATTTTTAAGTTAATTAGTAATTTTCTCCAAGATACACCAAAATTCTTCAAGTTTTTGTTCTTTCAAGCGTAAAGATATGTCAAAATTTTCTACGGGAAGTTACCATCAGTTTATTTTCCTTTTGGCAGATAATAGTTTCGGTCTACAAAGAAGTCAAGGTGCCTAAAGAGGACAAAATCCCGATAGGTTTTTGCAACATCTCCATCGCCCAGCAATTCAAATGCATTTCGAGACAACTAAAGGAGAACGGATACAAGTATCCAGTATCAGAATCGCACAAAGACTGGTACGTAAAACTAGATTTTTAATTTAAACCAGGTATTTATATCTGGTTCTAATTTCAGTTTTCGGTTGGTTAATCTGGACGGCAGTTCCAGCGGTTCCTTAACCGTGTACCTTCGCCTGAGTTGCATCGGACGTACTATAATCACGTCCTTTGTTTTCGGAAGCGATGGCAATTTTGTCTTCAAAGGAAATGACGAAGAATACAACGTCATTATGAAAAGAAGAATAATTTGGTAAAAACCAAAGCACCTGGCAGTTTTATCGATTCTCCAGAAACCATTGCACAGATTAAGGAGACTATTATATCCAAAGAACGACAGAACTATATTTGTTCCAATAAACATATAATGGACATACCTTGCAGAAAGTCTGAGTTGGTGATAAAGGACAGTGGTAATAAAAAAGTGGTGCAGGTGGTGGATGGAGATCACCTGAATGATGATAAAATGCTTGAAACATTCTCGGACATACTTCAGAAGGGTAATTCGGGTTTTGGTGATACGAAGACTAAGGTTTTGAAAAATTTGAACACTAACTTTGTGGTTTCCACAGCCAAAACTGAACCATTAACTGTGCAGAAACCATTAAAAGTACAGAAACCAACGAGCAATAAAAGTGTTCCAAGCACTGATAGCAAGACCAAGGACAAGAGTCAATTGAACTTGGCAAATAAAGTTGATGCCAAAACTGGTTCATTTACTATATCCTCCAAAAACAGCAGTGCTTGTTCTGTTAAAAAAAGCTCTTTTATATCTAGAAAAGGCGATTACGTCGATTTGGAACAAGAGTATAAATTTATGGATGCACAGAAAAAAGCAAACGATGCTGCGGATAAAAATAAACCAACTTTATTTAAAAGTATGGTTTTTAGGAAGTTGGATGATGCTTCACAGATGTCCCAAGGAGATGACACGTCGAATGATAGTAAACCAGTTTTGAAAGGTATTTTAAAAAATAATAAAGAACCTGTGCATGTATTTCCTAGTGCAATTGGTGTACCTAACCTGTACAACGTAACCAGTTTGAAGGGTATTTTGAAATTGACAACCGAAACTGATGAAACCAACACGAGCCAAAAGTATGGCGCATTCAAAAGTATTTTAAAAAGTCTGCATATCAAAAATAAAACTGAAAAGACAAACTTGCCCATCGCAAGTATTGATGATGAAAAAGAAATTGCAGTGTTTGAAAGTGAAGCCAGTCAAAATGAACTGGAGTTGGTGGAGCATAACGATGTCGATTTGTGCAGTAGTGAACGAGAGGCACAGCTCAAGGCATCCCAAATTAAAGACAATATTGACCAAGAGGATGAAACAGACGACTTAGAAACTTGTAGAAGCGATGTGACAGTTGTAGCAGCTTCAAACTACCACATCAACGACAACGTCTGGTCTGATTTCCAGCCCAACACTCAATCAACCTTGTCCAGGAACAACAGCACTATAAAACAAGTAACACCAACCCACAGCGATTGCTCTGATGCCAACATGAACTACCAACTATCCTTCCAACATGTGACCGAAAAGATCTTGAACTCCTTATTCGTCAACTGTTGCGAAGTGCCAGTGACTCCTGCCAACAGTGAAATGAATTTTGCGAGACCACTTTCCAGAGTTTCATCCAGCTCTCATGTTGCCCAAGTGGACGAGGACGAAGAAACCGATTTGCTAACGGAAATCGATGAGATTGATGCCAATGATGATGATGATGGTAGATTGGAGTATTTTATGGAACCGTTTGAAGACACTTTGAAGTTCTTTGATGATTTCGATTTGGATGATGAGAAAGAGTTGACGATGACTATGAGCGATATTGGACCGACGAAGAACATGGAAGTAAAATCAGGCTTAGAGGTAAGTAGAACACACATGTGGTTGAATCGTGTTAGCCCAATGTACTATTTATACTGTGAATTTTCCAGCAACAAGCCATGGAGGCTCTGTCCCATGCAGTGAATAAAATCGACAGTCGTCCCTTCGAGTTGATGATGACGCATTCGGAGATGCAGCCAGCTGGATACATCAAAAACAAGGCTGTTCTGCTGGCCAATTCCAGACTTATGGCCAAGAATACAGATCTGGCCAAACCTTTCTTCGATGTTGCTTTTGAATCCAGGAGCAAAATGAAGGAGATCAACAGGGAGCAACAGAAGGAGTTTCTGGCCAGACAGGAATTTCTAGGTAATAAGCAAATTGTATTACACCAAAAAATTCGAATCGTTAATGTTATATTTTCTCGACGTTTCAAGCCATTCTGAATCGAATGAGCCCAAATTTGGAAAAAGAATATGTGTGTGTGTGTATATGCGAACAGATTTTTGCAGTAAACCGACGTTTTCTCAAAAAACGGCTTGACAGATTTCAAAAATTTAAAAGCCATTTGACGTATCTCCATGAGGACAATTGTTTCTTAGTTTTGTGCGACGATCGGCCAAGCCGTTTCTTTATAAACAGCAGAAAAGTTAAATATTTTTCGCCCACGTTTTAGCCCGCAATTCTGAATCGATTTTGAAAATTCTAAAACCGTTCGAAAGATATTGATTGGGATTCTGATTAGTTTTTGGTAGAGATCGTCTGGGCCGTTTTCTTGTATAAAGTGTTAAAAAAAAATGTTTTTGACGATTTTTATGATTTTTTTTTTACAGTAAATACTATAGTTTTATAGATCTTACTAAAATATTGCGGACCTACGACAAGTCATTCGACTTTAAAAATTCGTATGGTTTTTTTCGTTTGTCAAAATTGAAACTTACATCGACTTTTCTTGAAAACGGCTGCATCGATTTCAAAAATTAAAAGCCAATCGATGTATTTCGATGTGGATTACCTTTTTTCAGTTTTGTGCGACGATCGGCTGAGCCGTTTCGCTGTAAATAGCAGAAAAGTGAGAATTTTTTTGTCCACATTTCAACTCACAATCCTTAGTCGATTTTAAAAAGTAACTAGTGGTGTATGGTATCGTGAATGAATAATCACTTAACGTAAATTGCTGGAACTTCCCGTACCGTAACGAAATGTTCGAGGAAATTAAATGTGTTCAAATAGATTATTATAAATAAATATTGTAACATTGTGTCTAATATTTATAAGAATTATATAAATTGAATTGCAAAGTTGAAAATATTTGTTTAAAGTATATTAGAACTATAGTCACAATTAAAAATAAAATCTGAATAATTTTCGTTAAAAAAAAATAAAAAAAAAATTGAAATAAGATAAAAAATCTAAAAATAATTGTTTCGTCAACACAAGCAGAAAGTTTTCTGAAATCTGATGCTTAGTTTTCTCGAAAACTGCAATTTTTTGCAAATTTTGCTCGGTTCTCTCCGAAACGGATGGACTTGCCTCTGCCAAGAACTAATCACCACTTCTTCCCGTCATTACGAATTGAATGTTATTTGAATCATTCAAATCGGATATTCTGTTCTCTCAAAAGCTCGATTTCTATTTTCTGCACTCTTTGCACCGTATCTCCGTAACGGCTGGCATGCCTTTTTCAAAACTAATCAGCACATCTGCCTATCAATAGGAATCGAATGTTTTTTGAACCATTTAAATCGGTTGATCCGTGCGCCCGAAAACGTGGATGAAAACTTGTATCCATGCATACATACACACACACATCAATTTTTTTTCTGAGGTATGACAAAATGTCCAGAAACAAAAATTTTATCTTTTGTTACAAAATATTAATTTAGTTTCTTTTTTCAGAGCCTATTCCAAATTCTTCTGAACACATCAAGACACCCATACCATCCAGGAGCAACTCTGCACAAAACAATAACTTGAAGCACCAGATGCTGCTCGAAAAATACAGGTCGACTAGATTTCCCAAAGATTTGGAACTTATTGTCTCGGACGGCTTGAAAAGCATTGGTTTACTCCAGAAATTCGATAGCACTGAAGGTAAAAACTGGTGAAGGTAAAAACCACATTCTCATGCATTAACAACTTTTTTGTTACAGGTGTAAGATCTATGTGCAATCTGAGTAACTCCGACAAAGATCCTTTCAAATCCTACAAGGAAGCAGTGGCTCGCACAGCTATGGAGAATCTGCCAGCAACTTCCAAAAATTCTGTAAGCGTTTTTGTAGACTTAACAGAATCAACATCTACAGAATCGTCGGAAACGTCTAGTGGCAGTGGCAAGTTTGAACATGATCCTCGTGCCAAGTTCATCCAAAGACTATCTAAAGAAATACGTGATGCCACTGACAAGAAGGATCTCAAGGCTTTTGCTAAACAGGAGCAATTGGAAGCCAAGAACTTCTCGAGAAACATGAAGGACAGGAAAGCTAAAAGAAGTGTAAAGTTGCAAATGCTAATCCTTCTGCAAAACAAAAACTGTTGTTAAAATACCAAAAAGGCACCTAGTGGTGCTTCCAAAAGTGCTCCACATTTTAATAGTGCATCGAGAAATGTTCATGTTGAACAAAGTCCTAAACCTAAGACGAGGAAAAAGAAGAAGAAACCAGCAGGCAAATGATTAAAGGATAATAGATCAATCTCAGGTTAGTGGAGGTTTTAATATGGTTTTGGTTGCAGGATGAATGAGAAATTAATAAGAAAATTACGTAAAATGTCATTAATGGAGTGATTGGTCGTTGATGGATGAACTAGAAGCCGAAATGCGTTCGAAGAATGTTTTATAACTCTCGAAGAATAATACTTGAAAATGAATGTGTCCTATGTCCTTTAATGTTGAATTCATA